TAGTAGTAGTAGTAGTAGTAGTAGTAGTAGTAGTAGTAGTAGTAGTAGCACTAGTACTAGTAGCACTAGTACTCGTAGCACTAGTACTAGTAGCACTAGTACTAGTAGCACTAGTAGTACTAGTGGCTGTAGTAGTGGTACTAGTGGCAGTAGTAGTAAAAGTAGAAGTAGAAGTAGCAGTAGCAGTAGCAGTAGGAGTAGTAGTAGTAGTAGCAGTAGACCAGCCATGTCTTGAGCTTGTTTGGAAGATATGATACAAGTGGGGCACTGGTTTCGTAGCACAGGTTCGTCTACATTTACGTTATCGTTTGGTTATCGTTTGACTACAGCTACATTTCGGACAAACCTGTCGCCAAAGTCCGAAGTCAAAAACGGTTTGGGAAAGGCTACACTAAGCAGAAACGAGGTTCCCTGATGGTCTTCATGGTTAAAAAGCGGTCCTGCAGCTATGCAAACTAAGCTTTCCTATAATTAAACATGATGCTATCAATATGGTATCGGTTTTGATGAGTCTATTATCGTTCTCCAAGTAAAATGCAAATTCTGCAATCCCAATGTCGGGTCCTTTACTAAATAGCTTTCCGTAAATAAATCAGGTTGCTCATATAGCATGCGTACTGGCCAGTGGGATCCTTGTTTGGGTTACGTGCCATTTGCCACTGAACAGTGTCCTGCCAGCATTGAACGCCCTCTTGCTGTGATATAAGATATAAGGAGGCTATTTGTTGATAGGGAAACTTGCAATTTCTGGACGGAGTGTGTCGATCTCGGAAATTAAAATTATCTGTCCACTCCAAATTGATCCAAACTGAAGAGAAATACAATAACCAAGGCCAAGGACCCCTCCTTGAGGGCGTCCCACAATGACAAGAAACATGACCCCAGCCCCAACACCAAGCTGTATGCCCCTTGAGCATCCACTACCCTCCTCCGAGAGTCTGGGTTTCTCACCTGCCTGCGCGGCTGTTCGTAGTCAATGGCTCCCGGCGACAAAGCCTGCCTCAACTGGCAGGGTTCTTCGCCCGGAATGCACCGAACGAACTCCCTAAGTCCAATCCCCGTGCGCATGACTTCTTTTCGATCTGCTTTCGAGTGTTGGGTGCTGTTCAGCAGCAAGGAACTCGCTGGAAGTCCAAGGTAAAAAAATCTGATTCGCTTGTTCAAACCTCCTCACATGCACGAATGCCGGGGACAAGCAAACCATACCATCTTGGCCAAATGGCTGCAGGGTGTAGATCTGCGACTTGCTGAGGAACTCGGGAATCACCTCGAATGCACGAGCACGAGCTGCCGATTTCTTGAGGCAAAGGCAAACTGCAGAACGGTTCTGGTCATTTTAAGTATAGGGATCGAGATCTCCCACATCCCCCTGGAAGAAGGGACATAGAACAAACCGGTTGGCTGGGTGTCTCCCTATCTAAAAGGTTGACCAAATGATTTGGGGGGAGCAGTGGGTAGTACCAAGTTTTCACCTCCCTTCAAAAGGGCTGTGATCCATGGACTTCTAGTATGGCGCAAGCAAGACGTTGGTACACCAGATTGGAATGCCATGGAAGGCCCCACGTGAACAGGACCATGGTAATCAGGCCTGCAACTTCACACAACCAACCGGTTAAACAACGTACAATGATGCTCACACGAAGGTAAATCCAACGTATAGTACAATGAATGAAACCCACTGTGCGGGCACTGTGCTTTGCTGTATCTTGGCCCAGCTGCAGCTCAGTCGCCAGCAATGTGGTATCCTCATCGGCCATGTGCGTCACACATGGAAAAAAGCAAAAGGACTTGGAACATCTTGGAACTGATGGAAGCACTGTTGACCGTTGATAGTTGATAGAAGTGTACCAAGCCTCCAAGCCTGGAACCTTTCTGGAACCCTAGACGGCTACTCTGTAGACATTACAACAAATGAGACAAAACATGAAACACATGGATTCATCACAGATTCATCACACGCATCCACTTCTCAAACAGGCTTGTCCAACAGTAACTTTACCCAGCAAGTCCAAAGGACGGGTTAAAAGGACGCATTTCACCTCCCAACTTCCAAGACCTAATGTTCACAGGTTTTTCACAGGTTTTTCACGTCCTTTTCACGGGTTTTTCACGGCCTTT